AATTTGGGGGTACCGATTTGTGGGCCCTAGCACCCTGTAGTACTAGATCAGGAGGCTGCTCTTATTTTATGAAAAATGGACCAGTTGGCATCTTAACATCAAAGACCTCATAATCTTGCTTTCTCATTCAGTCTTTTTTAATACAACTCAATCCAGACATCCTTTCTTTACATTCCCCTCAAAACTCCCACCTGAGTTCATTTATTTAATTTGTTTCTCTCACCTGGGATACCCTTCATCTTTCTCCTTCATTTTTTCAAATCCTTTTCCCAACCTCAAGTCTCAGTTCAAATTTCATAAAACCTTCCAGGCCTTGCATGTAACCCCCAGAGACTTTCTCAGCTCTGAATGCTCTGTGGTTGAATTGACAGCTTCAGTCATAAAGCACAGAGTTATCTGTGTCTACAATGTGCCAAGTGCTAGGGCTTTAAAGAACTGCAGGACCGTCCTTTGCAAGGCTTCCCATGCTATCTGGGAGAATGAGATGAATATTTAAGAAGATAAATATCAATATATTCCATCAGCATATACCATCTTATCTCTATCCACAAAGCACGGTGATATGACAGAGTGTACTGTGTCACTCATTTGACACTTAGTATTTGTAAAAATACACACACGATGTCTTCCTACAAACACTGAGGTGTTAGTTGAGGTGGTGATATAAAAAAGCCTTTCTTCAATAATATACAAGCTTTGTGAGGTCATACCACTCTGTGACCCTTCTAGTTTCAAGATCAATACAACACACATGGCCCTGTGTCATAATGAAGAATGCAGACTCTGGAGGCAGAATTCTCTGTCTGAGTACAACCGAGCCACTTACTCTGTGTGTGTTCTCCAGCAAATTTCTCTGTGCCTGAGTTTTCTTATCTGTAAAATGGGGCAATAAATTTACTTACCTCATAGAGGATTTAATGAGATAATGTAAGTAAATCACTTTGCATATTGTTTGGCACATGGCTAGTCAATAAACATTAGATATTTTTGTATTATCTCAATATACCTAATGCAAATGACTGGCAGTCCAATGATGTAGTTTCACTGCCTCTAAGGAGTTAGGGGTACAACTGTAAATAAAACTTTCTGCATGATGGATCCTCTCTGAGTTAAATAAAATAAAATGAAATTTTCATGCCTAAAATCTTGTCTTAAGTATAATATTTTTAAATGCTTCATTCCCTATTGCCCAAGGGACCTATGGCAGGATTCTGGCATAAGCCATCTTCACCCTGAGCAGTGGGCTAGAAACTTTCAACTGGGCACTTACCATCAGTCCTGGCTCTGCTGGCATGATAGCAAGGCAAGATTAGGGACAGAACAAGCATACATCCTGGTTCACCCAAGCCCCTTACAGGTTAGGCTTGTTGTCCCAGCGTTTTTATTAACAGCACTTCCACTTGTCCCTTAGACATGTATTGATTTGTACAATAAATTACTCGGCCGCCCTAGTTATAGAGTCTGCTATTCTGTCCCCCACCCAAGAGCAGAGTGTAAGAGGGAAATATGGGCTGAGTTTAAACCCAACTTTGACACTGCTCATTAGCCATAGGTCTTGGGGCAATTGCTGATTTTGGCTGATTGGTAAATATCTTGGTCCATTCAGACTGCTCTAAAAAAACACCGTAAGTTTTTGGCTTATAAAAATGAAAATTTATTTCTGTTAGTTTTGAAGACTAGGAAGCCCAAAATCAGAATGGCAGCAGATTCAGGGATAGTGAGGGTTCACTTTCTGCTTCACAGATGGCATCTTCCAGCCATGTCCTCACATGGTGGAAGAGGAAAGGCTTCTGGAGCCTCTTTCATCAGGGCTCTAATCCCAACATGGGACCTCTGCCCTAATGACCTAATCACCTCCCAAAGGTCCCACTGCATAATACCATAATATTGGTGATTAGGTTTCAACCTAAGAATTTTGGGAAGACACAAAAATTCAGACCATAGCAGTAAACTTTGCTCATTAGTAAAATGAAAATAATGGTAACTATCTAGCTCTCGTGGTTATGAAAATTACAGAATACACAAGAAGATATCCAAATATGTGAATTCTTTTGCCTTTCCTTTATACACTCCATCCATGAACAGAAAACAGTCCCAATGGTGCCTGTTTTTGAGGTTACACTGCATCTTCAAGACACCTGCTTTTGAGGTTACTCTGTGTCTGCAGAACAACAGCACAGGCCATGTAGTGCATGCGTGTTTCCCCAGGCAGTGAAGAGGGACAAGGCCCTTCTGGGGCTGTCCCAGAGGCTCAGGGGAAAGAGAGAGACCCTATGGCTCCTGATAACAGGTTTTAGCTGTAATCATTCAATTACACCCTTTTATATTCTATTTTACTGCATCTGAAAGAGGCATGGATATCTGGATATCTAATAGCTACATTTACTGGGAGGTGAGCTACTAAAAATAGTCCCACAATCTGTGGGCGGGTTTCCAGGAAATGCTTGACTTGTTAGAGTAGAACTGCTGAGTCTGTTAATGAAGCCCTTCATCTGAATCACTTGCCCATGCTGCTTGCCCAGGGCTGAAGGCTTAGCTCTTGTTCATACCAACAGAGATAGAATAGCAGAATCTTAAAGGAATACAGGCAATTAAAAAGGAGTTGAAGACTAATATTAAAATATGTATGAGGATTGTACCGTAGTGACTTTAAGCCAATTTGAAATATCACTTCACAAAAACTACCAGGACAAAATGTAATTCATTATTTTAATTCCCTCGGAATGAGATTGTCTCTAGAACTTGAAGTCTAATGATGATAGTGTGTTTTCATTTGTGGATCCTCTCATACCTCAAGCCGGAGAGGCAGAGGGCCTATGCCCTTTTTAAAGATAAAAAGTAAATACGATGAAAAGTCTTTTAACTTCAGAATATTTAACAGAAGATATTCCAGTTTTCTTGCAACTCTTACAAAGGGCAGAGACAAAGCTGATCAGAATGAATTTTCTTTGTCAGAATTTTTGAGTTTGGCATTTTCCTTGAGTTTAAATGCTGTATTAATAAAGGCTGAATATAGTTTAATGCTACTACGTTTTCTAACTTGAAGTCAATTATTAAAAGGTCAAAAAGTATTGATGTGTTTTAAGGAAGAACACTGTAGAAATGAAATACAACACACACATAGTAAGCATTTTTTTAAAAAAAATACTTGGAATTAAAAATAATGATAAAAATACAAAATTGAATCACTAATTTCTCTTGAACTTTAATAAAATAAATTAAAATACAATACTATTTGAAATTAAGGTAGGGTGTAATTATTCATTTGCTAGAAACAAATATAAATACTTTTTTTAAAAAATTAATTCAACTATTAATTCAGGATACACTTTAAGACATCTTGCAAATAATTTTTCAGGCTTCATCTTTGACAAAGAAAATGGTGGATTTAGGTAAAGGGATACTTACAGTAGTAAATCCACAACAAATATTTTGTCAGGAGAAAATAAACACCTTTACCTGTAGTAGACAACACTATTTTGAAGCGGGAATTGATTGTACTTTATACTTGTATTGTTTCAAATTGTTTATTTCTGTTAAAAGATGGGGGGTAGTTCCTGACAAAAATCTTTCAATCAGCTGTTAATGAGTCACTTGTGGTCAGGTTCACAGACAAAAGCCTTTTTATTGACTGAGTTGGGTCAGGTTTCCAGACTTTTCCTACCCTTTTTCATCCCATGAAGACAAAACAAGGCAGAGGAGGAATGTTGTGGGGCCACCCGTCATCTCAAGTTGTTGAAATAGAGGCAGCAATCAAGAAAGTTGCTTCAAGGATGGGATCTTTTCCCGGGTTTGCCATGAACAGTGTGATGTTCTGGTTCAATCTTTGTATGTTAGGGACACAGCATTCTCTTTCTGCAAATGATGTCATATTTGGGGGCATAGTTGTAAGTGAACAGGGTTAAGCCCAGAACTGTTCTGTCTTTTTTCTAGTTCTGCTCTCAGTAGCCATGTGACTGACATTAGCCAGGTCTTTCAACCTTGATATCTGTCAAATGATTGGCAATCAGGCCTCTTCTCAGATCCCTCCTATTAATTACTAATTCTACCTATATTTCCTGTTGTTTATAATCAATATATAATGTGTGTGTGTGTGTGTGTGTGTGTGTGTGTGTGTGTGTGTGCAGTTTAGGTTAGGTTAATTATTCATATATTGGTAAAAATTAAGAACTATATTATTTATAATAGTGCAGTTTCAAAATTCAAAACAAACTTTTTACTTGATTCTTGGTCTTGTGACAGTTTAAAAAATTACCTTTTACCAGCATTTTTGAGGCTCCAGTCTTAATTTTAATCACAAAGAAAATGGTAATTTGTTAGGCCAAACAACAGAAAATAATAAAAATAGTTAAAAAAAAAAAAGTGAGGAGAAACAAAAGGTGGACCAGAGTCAAGAAAGTAAATTTTTTCTTAAGCAGCATCATGATATGTGGTAAATTAGGAAGTGGGTTGATGCACACTGTATGTTTATGTGAATGTAGAAGAGGAGGTGGTATGCTGCTAAAGGACAGTCTCAGAGATGATTAAAGGTCAGATGTCAACCATTTGGCTGTGGTTTTTATGTGCCTTTTACATTTATTGCTCTCTCATAAAAGTAAAATGTGACTAGTTAAATAAATGTTGCTAAAACAGGATATTAAGGTTGTAATAATGGGAAAACATTGCAAAGAACCCTTAGAGAAATTCAAGTCATTTCACGTGTTAATTTCCTAAAACTGATTGTTTTACTTTCATATTTTTAATTTTAAAAAATCACTTAAAAATAATTGGGACTTCTGCATTTACAGCCTATATATATAGTGGCTTTAAAAAAAAGTTTGAAATAGAAAACTGTCCTCAGATCCTTTGGTATGCAAAAGCATTGCATTGGAAGGGAATTATGTGGCTGAGCATGCTGTGATTTTAATTTTATGTTTTAAGTTATTGTAGTAAAATATCAGACACTGATATTCACACAGTTTAAAAAATCAGCCTAAGACCTTTGCTCACATCTGTCATACCTCCTGTCCTGGGGAAAGACGAAGTGGCAGGGGGGGCCTTGCTTCAGGAGCTCAGAAAACTGGCTTCTTGTTCCAGGTCTACCGCTTACTGAGCTGCTGCAAATCTGATTCTTTCTCAGTCTTCCTGGTTTCTAATTACCATGTCTGCAAAACAGGAATAAACAAACTTCACTGAAACAGAAGACCTGATCAAATGTCACTTCTAGCCCTAAGATCCAGTGAATGTGTCAACTCATGACTAAAAATGCACTAAAAGCGGAAAAAAAGAGAAAAGAAAAGCAAACCACTCCTGGCATTCTCTGAAAGAGTCCGCAGAGATTGCACTCTCTCACTCTCACTTTTCACCACACTCTGCTTCCTGCTTCTCCCCCATTCTCCCACTATCACTGCCTAGCTTACTGGTCCAGGGGCTTATCAGCTAACACCAGTGGTCTCCTGGCTGTGTCCTCCTGCCCCTCAACTCCCTCTCCCACACAGCATTCACTCTTCCTGAAAACAGTTCAGATTTGCTCTGGCACTCAAAGCCCTCCATAGTCCAACTTCACTTTTCCTTTTTAGCTCTACAGCTCTTCATTCCTTGACCCACAGAAACTCTTGGCTTCAAACAAATGGTATTATTCATTTGGCCCAGAATTAGAGTGATCATATCCTATTGCAGCAATCTTTCTTAAACCATTCTCTCTGTCCCTCACATGCAATGAATTGTAGAGATTCTCTCTCCAATTAGTTGGAGAGAACCTGTTAGTTGGAGAAAACATCTTCAACTAAGATAATCTCAGCTATGCTTTAATTTCAGGTTCAAATCCTGCCACTTGTACAAGGTTCTCTTTCTGTCTTACCACTGAACTTCATTAATTAATCATGTCTTTATTATTCATCTGGCTTTTTGCATTTCCTCTTTTTGTTAATAGTTTTACTGCCCATAGACTCAACTGGGCTGTGAAGTCCTTGAAGGATGAACCCTAGGCTTGTCTTTCTCTGTCTTCTGCACAAGTCTGGTATAGGACTTCCTTAGTCATAGAAAAGCAATGATCAAAATGCAAAATGTGTCTATGTTATGCTTATCTTTAAAATCAAATTGTCAATTAATGTGAGTATTCCTTATTTTTTGACTAGAACTGTTGTTACATTAAATATACTCACTTGGTGAAGTGTGAAATGTATAGAAATCTAAACATGCTTGCATTATTTTTTCTTAAATGTCAAGAGCCTTTCAAGTTCTTACATTTAGAAAGATCAATGACAAATAATAAGCAAAATTATTAAAGTGTTTTCTCAATTTTTTAAAAATATATTAAACAGGATTATAATATTTAGCTATAGCATTTATTACAGTTATTTTCAGTACCAAATATTGAACACCTTCCCCTTCTCTTATTCTCTCTTGGAACCAGTGTTCTTAAATTAAAATAATAATGATGATGATGATGATGATTATATCATAGCCAAATATTCTTCCTGGTGATTCAGAATTAAAATGTACGACTTGCAATCTTTTGTATCACTAACATCTGGAAAAGCATAAGACAAAGCCTAAGTGGTTTTAAGAATGACGTTATTCAGATATGATGATTGGAAATGGTCACAAATTGAAAACTGTAAAGGCTAGTTTCTATATTACCTTAATTTTCCCCATAATAAAGTGATCGACCTATTTCCAAGAAGTCTAAAGGTCTTGTATATTATAGAAATGAGTTACACACCTAGATGACGCTTTGCTATATTTTACCTTGTTTTTACATTATGCTTTTTGACCTTCAAGGGGAAAACATAGAAAACTATAATGAGAAACTAGAGAGGTTGAAAATGTTTTCAACCTATTGAAATTTTCCTGGCCTGTCCTCCAGTGAATTTCTGGTTGTACACCCAAGGCCTTTAAAACTATCTCACGGGGAACATTGTCTTTATCTGAGGCTTCTTGCTAAAGGCCCCATAGAGAGGGCTCCTCAGCCTCCCTTCATGCCCCTGGCTGAAATTATCACTCTTTCTTTAAACCCAGTAGTGTTTATGCCTCTCAAAATCCCATCCTTAGAGATGGGCAAAGACGATGCCTGTGGAATTCTCCCTCCTGTATTAGTCTGAAAAGCTCATTTGCCAGATTTTCTGAATGCTTTTTAATTATCATTGCTTTCACATTGCAATTTCTTAATGAACTTCCACTTCATTTGTCTTTTGACACCATCAAGTTACTCTCCTTCGAGGCCTAAAGCTGTGCTTGGAAATTTCCCAGTAGGTGAATCTAGAGCCCAGGCTGGCAGACAGTACCTGTGGAAAAGTCTTCCTAGCCAAGCGCCAAGAGGTACTTAGAAAAATCCCACATCTCAGCCCTGAAGGTATATGCACCAGCATGGAGTGCTGGAAATGTTAGGGGCTTTCATGAAGAGGGACTGACGTCTATGTAGAGACAATTCCTAAATACAGCTACCTAACATCATGCTAATTCCTGTCTTCTGATGTCACTGTCTGGAAATATCCTCAAGCCATCTTCTGTGTTTCCTAAATTTCTTAAGGAGGAGTCAGGAAGTTCTTCAGACCAATTATGTAAGTTTTAGAATAAAAGCTTGATTTTCTAGGGAGTTGTTATGAATACAAAACCAGCATTTCATATTTAAGAGACATTTGTTCTAGATAAGTTTTTAGAAACCATTTAATTTAGACCAAAATCACTTTTAGACTTTGCCACGAAGAGCCCCATTGGTGTTTGTTTAGTGTTTTCCATGTGCAAATGTGGCTCTTCTGTTAGTTGTCTTCATCCTGTAATCTGTCTGGATGAGTCACTCTTAATAAGTGGCTTTCCAATGATCTGGTCCACAGTTTTCAAAGTGGTTTCACTGGCCCTAAAAATGACCCCATAGAAAAAGAAGACTGTGCATGAGCTACCTCCCCCAGCTGAGGAATTCACAGAGCCTGTTAGCTTATTAAAGTCTTGAGCATTTCAGCAGTGCATAAATGTGATTGGCTTTGTGTAACAGTGCTTCCCTAACTTCTTGGCCATGAAACTGAAAGTGTGGATTCTGGTTTTCATCCAGAAAAATGATAGTTTTCAGAACACACTTTTGTAAATGCTGGGTTAAGCATCTTGCCTTACAAAAAAGGAGGAAAGACATGCATTTTTTTCAATACAAAATATAACAAATAAACAACTATTCTGTATTTATCCTCCAATCACTTGCCATTGTCTAACCACAGGTTACTCACTCATGTTTCAGACGATGTAGTCTCAGGTACTCTAAGTACACACCATTTATTTTAGTCTACTTTCGAGGAATGTGTGTTTAAAATGTGACTTTAAAAATGTGTCTGGGGATTCCATATGCTGTCTGGAACTGAGAAGGGAGACAAACAACTTGGGCTTCCACACAGACACACCTGCTTTGTCTTATTTCAACTTTTTTGGTATATTGATAATGAGGCAATGGGACAGATAAACTGGATAAGCTTCTCAAACATCAATGGGATTTCTAATGAGATGATTGAAGCTACACTCTATTAAATATTTCAGGTCTAAAAAATGATTAGAAAATAGGATCTTCTACACAAAAACTGTGTGTAGGTGAAATTTATAATTTAAAAAAAAGACAATCAAAAGGAAGAACTGTACTTGGTGGTACTTTCTTCATTAATATATTCTGGCATAAAAATAACTTCTAGTTACATAAGGCATAGGACAAAAAGCACACAATGCTAATGATCCAAGTGCCTTAAAAACACTAAATGAGTGGTGAAAACTCTCCTCTGAAGGAACTGAAGAAGACAGAGGAGAAGCAGGATCTTGTTATATCACCAGTGTCAACCTATGGCCAGAAAATGATGAGTCGTTCCTCTGCAAAGTAGCAATGACCCTAGAATCCTCTGGTCTACTTGAATTCTCAATAAACTGCTCTCTTCTCTAGCCAGTAATTTTTTCAAGACTAGGGTTTTTTTTTTGTTTTTTTTTTTTTTTTTTTTTTTTTTTTTTTGAGAGGTTTAACCAGGGAACAGTCAAAGGAAACCACAGGATACAGATTTTTAAAATCAAAATTTACATGCCACCTTAGTCCAAAACTGTATTTTCCCTTTAATTGCCCATTATCCTACTATGAACCTGGACTGAAGTATGGGTTCCCGAATCAGGTCATATTTATTTGCTTGGGAAGAAGAAATAATGGTAAAGCTTGGCCTGTGAGTTTCATTTCTTTTTTCCCTCCTTGCACATACTGATATTTTTCTAGATGGACATCCCTGACAACCAGACTGCTGTCTCAGGCTATCCCAATTCAACCATTAGCCTAATTGCCATGCCAGGACAGTGTCTAATACTCCACAGAGTGCAGCAACAGAAAGAAGTGCAGGGCAAAAGGGAGCAGAACCGAAATATAGAGAAAGGGCATCTGGGGAGTCTTGGGCAAGAAAACCTAGAAACTGATGATTTTATTTGGGTCGGGCCCATAGTATATAAAAATGAGAAAACACATTTTAAATAATACAAACAAATCTCCTAACTTAAAAAAGAGAAAGGTCATAAATGAGATAGTCTTTTCTTTGAGCCATATTTCATATGAACTTAAGAAATAGGATGAAGCCTCATGGAAAGGGATCACCCACGTAAATGGGTGGAATATTGTACCCTTCAGTGCTTATCGTGAGTGCTGGGGAAGCAGGAAAATGGCTTGCTTGGAACTGCGGAAAGTCAGATTCTTCCATAAACATGAGAGACAGGTTTGGGGTCTCAAGGCCTAAAGGTAACAATGTGGGTTAAAATACAAAGCAAATGTCTAGATGAATATGGAGTAGTAAAATGTAATAACTGAAATGGTCAATATTTATTTGGTGCTTTACATTTTTAAAATATCCTCCCCATTCATTGCCTCACTTGATCCTCAGTACCCCACCATGTGGGAGGTTCTATACTAAATTCATTCAAAATTGTCCAGTGGAATCTTCGCTTTAAATATCCTAAACCATTTCTATTAGATTCACTTGAATTGTGGCCCCAAGTAACTCATTGTAAGACCCAATCTCCAGGAGCTAGTTTGATTCTCATACCTGAAACTCCCATAGGAATCCTTGGTCAGACTCTATGTCCCAATTTTGCATTCGTAAAATATTTTCTCATTGCACAGTTGAGAGTACTAGAGCCCAGAGACATCAGTTTTTTTGCCCAA